TCTTCGCTTCTGCCAGTGTAGTTAAATACCAGTTGAACGTGTCATCACAAAACTTTGATTAGAAGAAAGTTGTAGCAGATTGACTGCGGCAGTTTTCCGCTTTAATAGGTATGTTTGCTACGTGTTGAAGGACAACAGAGGGCGCACAGCTTAGGGCTGAGGCAGCCAACCGGGATACCTGATTACTGTGGCGCATTCTAGGTTCTTTTAGGCAAAATTGAAGAGACCGAATCATATCTCATGTCGGCTTGAGCTTGTTCTCCGAAAACCAGTTTTCACCTTCACTGTACAGCAGGCCTTTCCTGTCCTTCAACTTGTACTGCCATCGACTCTGGTGATAACGACGCTCAGAAACGGTGAACGCATCGAATTCGACACGCGTCACCTCTGTTCCGTCGATCATCACACGTTTGCTCACCCTCATGTTGACCTTGTCGTCTTCCTTGAAGCCTGCCTTGCGCTGATGGAATATGTCAGTGGCGCTCACTTTCAATTGAGCGAGCTCTGCGTACCCTATTGGAATCAAGATTAGTGATCGCCACCGACTTGCTCTGCTCGCTCTCGGGAATATCGTTCTAAGCACAGGTGGAGACCACCGGTCAGTGTGAAGCGCTCTAGTGATGACGATAATGAGGCTTTACCTGATCTGCCATGACCGGTCAATTTCTTGAACTCGATGGCTAGGCGTAATTGTTAGGTTCGGAATACAAGAAATCAGGCTGAGCAGCTGTAATTCGGGCGCAGCCGGCCTCTATTTAGACTGAGGCTCCCAAGGCATACAATGAGGAAGGCTGTGCAATGACAAACTCTATTTGAGCGAACTCACCGTTCCCCATATGCCATCTTTAAGCCTCATATCACATGTAGTTCAGCTGAACGATTGTCCGCATGACAGTTTGGTGGGGTCGGTGCGTTGTGGTTGGAGGACATATTTTGTGGCACAAGGGAGCGCCCGCTCAGCTTTGGGACAGCCAATGGATGAGCAAGCAGTCTGATAAGCAGTTCTCAGGCAAACATGCGATGTTGGGGCCGGCAAACGCCAACGTAAGCTGTCTCTAGTTGTTCCAATTCGTGTTTGCACCGCCGCTGGAGGTCCTTCAGAAGGAATCACAGCGACGAACGCAACGATAGGATAACATAAGAAGGGCGCCTCCTGATGGGTAGCCCTACAATCAGTAGTCTGATGTATCACCTGAGATATGGCTGCGCAACTTCAGTCAACTGCACGACCTGCGCATACCAAGACTACCGAGCCTTGCCAGAGCCCTAAGCCAATCAATCCTTCCCGGCAGAATTCTATCGTGGTACCAGTCACTGTTGACGATCTCACCTTCCTCGACCCGGGTGACGAAGAAGCCAAGAGGGAGCTGAACCGCGAGGCTGAGCGGCGCACATTGTTCCAAAATGTGTCGAATGGTGTACTTCAGATACCCAATGGTTATCGCAAGGTTGAAGTGCTGATAATACGTTGGGATGAGAGTGTCGACGAGTTCAAAGGCCACGAGCAAGAGGTGAGTCTGCGCATCATTCGAAGAAAATTGCCTAATTAAAGCGGCAGATTGGTCTCCTGAGAACGATTTTCACAACTGGCTTCGGGTTCGGATGTACCGTGAGAAGAATTCGGAACAGCCGGAATCCGCAGATCGACCTTAACCACCATATATTGACCCATGTGCACGAACACGACGGCGAAGACAATCTGCTGATTGTATACTACACGGGCCATGGTGTCCGTATCGAGGATGACAAGGGCTGCAGTCGACTGCAGTTATCTGCGTAGGTAGCCTGAGGAGTTCCAGCATTCGGTCATTAACACGTAGCAGGTCACGAAATTGGGATGAGAGCAGTGGCCATGCTTATGCTCCTACAGCATTCTGGGATGAAGCAGAAGCACCTCTCAAGTTACACGCAGCAGCTGATACACTAGCTATCTTGGATTGCTGCTCCGCGAGTACTGCTGCTGTGACCCATAAAGGCAGAAACGAAGAATTGCGAAACTATCAGTTGTTAGCGGCTTCTTCAGCAGACGAGTATACACGTGGGCCAGGACAAGAATCTTTTACTCATGCATTGTGTGAGTCGCTTCGCGAACTCTTATTCGAAGCAAAGGGTGGAACATTTCCAGTCATCAAACTGTGGGAAAGAATCAACACTAAGAGAACAACACAGGCCGCTCTGATGTGGGATCGCTTACAGCGATACAAACGTAATGTGGAGCTTGGACGACTCGATCCAAATCCAGAACGGGACGAGTCTTTTCGCAACGAAGAACCGGAAAAAGCCTCACTTGTTTTGCGCTTCTCGCTCAAAGAAGAGGCGCTCGGCAACTCTCAGGTTGAGATGCTTGCCCGACAGTTGCCCGCAGTCTTCAAGGAGGCCGGGGTTCTTGTGCGGCGAATGGAGTACGTGGAGCTTGAGCGACGAGACGATGCAGCGAAGGCTTTCCGCGCCGAACCTGGAAGACGGTATGATCCAGCGAAAGCTTTCCGTAAGGTAGTTCACCAGGTACAGGAAAACATTTCCAGCGACAAGATGGGTCATGGCGAGCATGAGAAACAGTCTGCGACACTTGAGCCAAGGAAGCGCAAAAGCTCGTACTCAGACACGCTTCTGGCACCTAAGAGAAATGCGAGAGAGAGCTCGCTCACGTCAGAGGAAGCCACCGATTCAGGCTTGTGCACGCCGCCGAAGAGACATACAAAGCCGGGGTCTGAGGCTCATAAGTGCTGAGGGATGTTGAAGGTACTGTGGTTGCATATTTTCATTGCCAGGGCTTGATCGAGCCTCAAGGGCGTCTGGAAGGTGCGCAATCCTTACTTCGAAGAATGTATCTGAATGCGCAATAGATGGAAGTCAGGTACTCTAGATAATGGAATGTCAATGGTTGACGTGTGTACCTGGGCAGCGACTAGGAGGAAAGCGTGACCTCGTGACGGATGATCTACGCGCTTGGCTGAAACAGGACAGCTCCGCCGCTATCTCCGCATCATCGCGTCAACCCAGCCACCGTGCCGGCTGCCATAGACGTTATCACAGCTCTTGCTACCATCTACACTCCAGCAAACATGAAGTCAACGACGATCTTACTACCTCTGTACACTGCAGCCCTTGCAGCTGCAGTTTCGCATCCCAAGGACCCCCAGGCGGTCCTGCAGGAGCCGCAGCTTACTATCATCGAGCCAGACGAGTATCTTATCGAGCTGTCTCCGGGCGAGACAAGATGGGTTACCGAAGATGAGAAGTGGGAGCTGCGTAAGGTATGACATCCCAGCACCGACAGCAGATAACGTGGAGCCTACCGCTGACACGATGCAGCAAAACATCAACTTCTTCGACATCACGCACAATGAAGAGCTCGGCACGCTCGACCGCCGGTTCAAAGCCGAAAGCGTCAAGTTCCCCGAGAAGCCTGTACACAACGAGACCATTGTTCCTCTGCTCAAGAAGCTGGAGAAGAACAACATGCGCGAGCATCTCGAGACCTTCACCTCGTTCCACACGCGATACTATAAGTCCAAATACGGAGTCGAGAGCTCGGCATGGCTTCTTGGCCAGGTCAACAAGACTCTCGCGGATGCAGGCGCTGTCAAAGCCTCCGTGAAGGCGTTCCCTCACCCATGGGGCCAGTCCTCCATCATCGCCACCATTCCTGGCAAGAGCGACAAGACAATTGTCATCGGCGCTCACCAGGACAGCATCAACCTCTTCTTCCCAGCTCTCCTGGCCGCCCCAGGCGCCGACGACGACGGCAGCGGTACCGTAACTATCCTCGAAGCCCTGCGCGTACTCCTCAAGTCGGAAGAGATCCTCAAGGGCGAAGCAGACAACACAATTGAGTTCCACTGGTACTCTGCTGAGGAAGGAGGCCTCTTGGGATCGCAGGCCATCTTCCAGTCCTACGAGAAGGAGGCTCGCAAGGTCAAGGCTATGCTTCAGCAGGACATGACCGGCTACGTCCAGAAGACGCTGGATGCGGGCGAGCCTGAGTCTGTTGGTGTCATTACTGACTTCGTTGACCCCGGTCTCACCGAGTTCATCAAGAAGATCATCACTGTCTACTGTGGCATTCCGTATGTTCTGACCAAGTGCGGTTACGCTTGCTCAGATCACGCCAGTGCGTCCAAGGCCGGCTACCCGTCAGCCTTCGTCATTGAGTCCGACTTCAAGTACAGCGACAACAAGATACACACAACCGAGGATAAGATTGAATATCTGAGCTTCGACCATATGCTTCAGCACGCGCGTATGACGCTTGCTCTGGCGTACGAACTTGCTTTTGCGAAGTTCGACTAGCGGCGATGAAATAGGATAAGGTTTACTTCCCGCCGTCGACATGGATATTTCGTAGTTATTGCACGAACAGCCAGCGGTTTTGCAGTCATGAATCAACGTATTGTTAATGATCCTCCAAAACATCGAGCACTCCATGTGGTGTCTATGCATGCGTCTGTCGCTGCATATGTGATTCGGCGTAGGGCGTGCGCGCTAACACAATGCCCTAGTGGTGACCTGTTTACCCTCATCCCGGAGCCGCGTCCGCATGGCTAGGTGAGATATCCGAACGGACGTTGCTTTCCCACTTTCTGATCTTTCTCGGTCTGGCCAAACACATCCCCAGTTTCTAGATACTATTCACACGTTGTCGTGGTCACTACTTCAGACGAACAAGATGAGTGCATGCAGGTGCAAGCAGAATCGCCAGAAGGAAGATGTATGGCGAACGTACCAACAATTACAAGAGTACCTAGGTACGCTCTTCCCTCCACCTTGGCGAGTACATGGATTGATCTACAAATAGGGCTATGCAACAGACAAGTTCCATTAATAAAAAGCTTCAAGAATTGAAAAAGGAAAGAGTGCGGCTTCTGGTCGAGAGGCGTGCTCTATACGCGAAGTACGTGGAAGAATGCATTGTTTTCGCTCTCAAACGTACAACACACTAACGTATTCCTCCAAGGACGTCGCGAGCCACTGTAAGATCTCACAGTCGAGCTTGGAATATGGCCTTCTGCGATGAGATGCAACGTCTCTTGCCACGTGAGATACGCGAAATGATCTATGAAGAGCTCTGGAGCGCGAGTGGCGGCGCAACCGCTCCTGTGCACAAGTCCTGGAGCCACCTGTGCGACCTTGTAAAGGAAGACTGCTATTGTAAATTCGGAATTTTGGAGGGGTGTATGGGACACAAAGCAGCTCCACACTTCATCAAACAGTCCTACGTTGGAATTGAGACCGCGCGCGAGGGGCTGGAGATGTGGTACAAGATGGTACCTGGAGGATCGAATTACCGCCACCTCTTCGCAACGACGCTTTCTGAGGCAATCCGGCTACTCACTGCAGATGCTTTCAAAGTTGGTCTCAAGCCTACAGCGGTACTGAGAGGACTGATTGTTGAGGTCCCCGTTAAGGAACTTGTTGCTAGCCCGGCCGAAGCGCAGGCCATGGTTGACCAATTACTTCGCATCGTTCACAAACGCGACTTCCACCTTTACATCCGACTGCCCCAGAGAAACATCCGACTCAACCTCTGGACCCCCATTTTTGAACTATTGCGACCCGTATTGACAGCTTTCAAGGAACACAGTCGGAACATACGCGTTCAATGGTTCTACCAACCAGACAGGACTTCGAGTATAAAGTACGACCTCAACTCACATATCCGGGATCCCGGTGCGGAATGGAAGGAATATATGATAGAAAGTTTTTTCAAACCGCGACAACAGTGCCGCCAGGTCAGACACAGGGACTATCTGGTGGAAGACAATCCGGATTATGACCCTCAACATCACGAAGATACAACCAACAGAATGAACAACTGCTTCGGCAACGATCCAGAGACGGATTCAGAGGACGGATCTGACACTGGCTCAGATGATGGGTCTAATACTGGCCCCGACGAGGAAAGCCCGTATTGTAGTTCGGATGAGTCGTATGATTCAGATTGAGATGTAGAGACGCGGAAAGAGAGCGCGATAGCGGGGCTTAGTTTGGTACCTAGCACTATGATCTAATCTATGCTAGAGAGAAGGAAATGTTCGTTTCCGTAGGCCACAGGAAACCCAGAAGCAAAGTACGGCTGATTTTAGTCTCATTGTTACTGTAGAACTACTTTGGGGCCCTATCCTGACATGTGCCTCCAACAGGCTTACGTTTGATGAGAAGCACCTGACTGTTGTCCGCCCTGAGCATTTTCCATCTCATCGTCGCTCCTGGTATCATCATAGCTTCCATTATCATCACTTTCCTCATCGTCCTCCTCGTCATCATAGTCGGCGTGGCCACCGTTCTCATCATCCTCGTCACTCGAGTAACGCATTCTGTTCCGCCCCCGCAGGAGATCGCCGAGGCTCGAGTCACAATCGGGGCACCGACAAATCCCTGCCTCATGCTTCAGAGTTCCAGTTTCCATGTACTCACGCACATGATTATGGGGCGGAGGTGCGTTGTATGTGTCAAAATGCATCATATAATCATGGTCGGATTCTTCGCGGTCGGCGATCTCTTCTTGGGTGAGATACGCATCGCTCTTTGGATCAAAATCTGGGCGATTCTCGTCCCTGTATAGACGGTGTATGTCGGGAATCTCGGGTTGCTGACGCGTGTGGTCAGCTGGATGCAAAGTGCGACAGCAAAGTAAAACAAACCGCATCAAAGAAGGCTACTGCGTTCGCTTTCCATTCCTCCTCGGGTTGCGCCATAGCATCCACGATATCGTACGTTACTGTGATTTCGTTCTCATAATCATCCCTCCCTTTGTAATCAAAGGTGGCTTTCACGATCGCCCCTTCGTCCTTCATCACCCTCACCGGCTCTCTCAACGCGTCAAAAACCTCTTTCCAGAGGTTAAGCCTGATGTGCTTCTGGCGGACTTCAATGATGAACCGGAATCCCGATTTGTTTTGGATCTTCAAAAGAGGCTCGGTGATGAGTTCTCGGCGATGTTCTGCACTCCTGATATCGCCCCAACCCTCTTTTCCCGGTTCCAATGGCACCGGTGGTGGAACGAAATCGTCAACACTCATGCTGATTTTCAGCTTTCTTATGAACTGGGCTGGTTCGCGTCCAATGTTGAAAGCGTCCTTGCAAATGATCTCCTGTACACCCTTGGCGGTCCACGCGTAGAGTAGCTCGTGGTGCTTGGTCGCTGCAATGTTGTACCATGACTCCACTAGTTCTGTCGCCATCTCTGGTCCAACCAGCTCCGGGCGCACAAAGAATGGGAGACATAGATGATATGGACAGGTCAGGTCCTTAGGGTTGAGGCACAGACGGCAGGTGCTGTTGATGGTATTGCGCATGTAAACGAGGGTTTTCTCAACGGTATGCTCGTCCCAGACCTGGGCCCAAATCATGTCCCGAACTTCACGAGGCAGATAGTGTTTTATCACCATGTAGTTCATTACTGCGTAGGTCAAGAAGATAGGACCGCCTTCGCGGTGTAAAAGCCTGGCGGCAGAATTAGTGATTGCGCGAATGTGGAAGGGAAGTAGCTGCATGTACATTGGTTCTATTTGATTGCGGTGCAAGAACCACCATGGATGCTTCCAGTACAATTGATGAAGTTGAGTGTTGTAAAGCTTAAGCAATTCCTTGAAAATAGGAGGCTGGTCATCGTCATTCAGATACCTAAGACACAAGTAAGCTTTTCTGTAAGTCTTTGCTACATGACTATAGTGCTTACTCGGAGATTCTGGGGGCGTTCACCTCGGGCGTTTGCATCTCAGTCGCCATGTTCGTGCTGTTGTGAGGTTGATTGATGGTAGCAACGCATTCGAAGTTTGGCGCGATCAAGGGTTATATCCGTTCGCTCCAACGCCAAGACCACCCCTCACAACTATCATCGCCTCTAGGCTTTTAGAACTAACTTTTTAATATAAACATAGTTTAATAATATAATTTTAAAAGTTAATTTACTAATATAAGTACTTAAGCTTATACTTATATTTAATAGCTAGTATGTAAATAGTATTACTAATATACTTAGATAGAAATATAAAAATACTATTATAACTTAAAAGAATAAAGCTACTTTTTACTTCTAAACTTAATTTTTATACTTATTTTACTTAATACTCTTAACTTTATCTAACTTAACTTTTCTAACTACTAACTATAACTTCTATTATTATTTTTATTACTATTTTAGTAAAGTTATAGTTATAGCTTTTTTTTACTTACTATTTATTTTTTAATATAAATAAATATTAATAATACTAATATTTATATTTAGCTTACTAATTTCTATAAATATACTATAAACTTTTTCTACTTTTTATTAGACTTAAGTACTATAACTACTTACTTAACTTACTAATACTTAGTATAAAGCTACTTCTAAGTTTTTTTATACTTTTTATATTTTACTTATAAAAAGAGGTTACTTAAATAATATATCTTAAGCGCCTTTAGGCTATTAATATATATAATATACTTAATTAACTATAGTTCTAACTAGCTTTTAGACTCTACTTCTATTATAGACTAGCCTTAGAGTTAGAATATACTAAGTATTAATAGAATATTATAAGGCTTAAAACTTAAAAGGCTATATATAGAATCTAAAGGTTTATATAGTAAGTCTAGACTTTACTTATACTTTCTCTATTTTAGCCTAAACTTAAGTAAAGTCTAAGACTATTATATACCTTTAAACTTACTTTTATTATATTAGTTAGAAAAGTAGCGTAGCGTTATAAAGAATATCTCTATACTAAGATTATAGGTCTAATAAGTAATATATAGAAGTAAGTCTATATATATAGAGTTTTTAGACTATATAAAAATTTTACTTATATAACTTTTACTATATTTATATATAGAGTTATAATAACTCTAAACTATATCTAAACTAGAGTTATATTATAATTTTTTATAATTATAATATAGCTTTTATCTAAGACTTTACTTATACTTTAATATAACTTACTTTTATTCTAACCTACTTTAAATTCTTTACTTTATAACTTTTATACTTACTTCTTTTAAAAACCTATTAGTTCTAGACTATGTCTATACCTCTTATTATAAAGTTTTATATTATTTTTACTTAGCTTATAGCTTTAGTGCTATTTACTTTAGCTAGTTTTCTTAACACGTAAAATAGTAGTACTAGTATTACTACTACTAGTACCTCTAGTAGCTAAGATCTAAAAAAGCTAACTAGTCTCTTTAGATATAGCTTCTTCTATAACTCTAAGATAAGAGCTCTAATTAGGTCTAGACTATACTCTAACTAATATATAATAGAGTAAGTAGTACTATATAGACTAGTATAAAGTTAAAGATAACTCTAATAACTTTAACTTTACTAAGACTAACTCTAAGAATTATCTATATATTTTATATATTATACTACTTTTCTAGTTTAGAAAGTATAAGTATAAGTCTAGTGCTAGTTTATTCTATTTAAGTTTTCTTAAGAGTCTAGACTATAAGCTAACTTCTTCTAGACTCTTTATATTCTTTTTATAGCTATTATAAAGTAAAGTATACTTTATATATACTTAAGTTCTTTATTAACTCTAAGCTACGCTATATATTCTATAATTAGAACTACTACGTTAAGTAGAGTACTAAGCGTAGAAATACCTATATTATAGATCTAAGAATATATAGTACTATATAACTTATAACTAGAACTATACTAAAGTTTACGCTATACTTTTACGTTCTCTACTACTACTTTAAATTAACTCTTACTATAGCTAAGTAAGGCTTTAGTTTAGCTACTTTTTATAAACTTTCTACTTAATACTAGTATAAAGCTTTACGTTTATCTAATAACTAAATATCTTTATTTAATCTCTTTTAGAGAAATATAGTTATTTCTATAGTATTTAGTTATAGCTTAAATAATTTAAATAATCTTACGCGTTTTATTAGTAGCGCTCTAAATATTATTAGTAGTTAGTTTTAGTAGTAGAAGAATATATTTAGTAAGATTATAGTATAGGCTCTAACTTTCTCTATACTATTTATATATTAACTTTTATTAGAACTAACTTCTACCTAGCACGCTCTTAAAGTACTACTACTAAGTAGACTATTTACTTCTAAGTAGCTCTAGTTTCTACTACTAAGTCTACTAGATTAATAACTAGTCTAAAAATAAATATAACTTAGATAATAAAAAGTATAGAGTTTCTACGCGCTATACTAACTACTATACTAACTTCTTTTATAACTACTTTTAAACTACTAAAAATACTACTTACTATAGTTACTATTATATTAATATCTAGCCTAGTACTATTTCTTTTCTAAACTTAAGTATATAAGCTTTCTCTACTATATATAAGTAGCGTAGTACTTCTAGATATAGTACTCTAGTATCTATCTCTACGCAGAATCTTCTAGCGCTTTATATAAATATAGTCTACTATAGTACTAAAGTCTATAAGAATATTAAGTAGAACTAGAATAAGCTAATAGAGAATTTTACTAAGTAGTCTAGTAACTCTAGACTAGCTCTAGACTTTACTTTATTTACTAACCTTTCTACTTCTAACTAACTTTAGCGCTATATCTTAATATTATCTAGCTAGTTTATATCTAACTCTAAGTCTAAGACTAAATTAGAGGCTTACCTTTTCTAAATTCTACTATTATTAACTTCTAGTAGTAATACTCTACGCTAAGGCTTTATTAAGTAAGAGACTTCTCTACTACTATATAATAACTATTCTACGTACTACTATATTAAAGGCTAACTTATTTTAGAGCTACTTTTCTAGAGCTTTAGCTATATCTAGAAGTAGCTTCTATTTAAGAAAAAGCCTTCTCTACTTAAAAAAAATCTAATTCTACCTAAGAAGAACTTATAATAGTAGCTAGAGTAGAAATTTTCTAAAATTAAGAAGAAAATTCTAGAGCCTAATAAGTAGTTTAATATAAGTAGTAGTCTTTCTAATAAGTAGATCTATTATAAGATAAAGAATAACTAAGTAGACTTTATATACCTCTAGTCTAGGTCTATATAGTACTTATAAAGTTACTATTCTTAAGATTTATAGTACGCACTAAATAGCGTAGACTAAAGACTATTAAATTAACTTTTTTATTATAAGTTTAAAGCTAAATTTATTATATACCTTTTCTTTTTTTATTATAACGCACTAGCTTATTATAAAAATATATATCTTTATATTTAGATTTAAAATAATCTAGCGCTTTAGTTTTAGAGAGTTTAAGTAGATTAACCTATATTAGCGTAACGTAGCTAGCCTACTTTACTAAGGCCTTCTACTAGCTTTAACTAGAAGCGTTTTTTACTTATAAAACTTTCTCTACTATCTATTTATATAAATTCTTATTATTCTTCTATAGATCTACTATAGGCTTTAGTTATACGTCTATTAGCAGCTAGCTTAGTAGAGAATTTACTACTACCTACTCTACTAGATCTATATAGATAGTCTTATATAGGTTTCTAAATAGGTCTAAGATAACTATAAAAGAAAATAGCACTACTATTATAGTATACTTTACTTAGAGCTAGTCTAATTTCTTACTAAGCTAGTTTATTTTAATATTATATATAGAGAACTATACTTTATTACTAACTTAGAATTACTTTATAAAGTAGTATAACTAGTTTATAGCTTTTTATTACTACTACTAGGTAAAAATAATTATAGCTTAGACTAAATTAAGTCTAGACTTTAAATACTTTATAAACTAGATAGTATAGCTCTTAAAGATATATGTAAACCTTTTCTAAAATAGAATCTACTATAGCGTCTCTACTATATATCTATTAAGTAGTAGATTTAGGCTAACTTCTATAATACTTAAGTTATAGTTATTTAAAGTAAGTTAATACGCTAGAAAGTAATTAGGCTAGTTAGTCTGTTTAAAGTTTACTATTATACGTAGTACTACCTATACTTTCTAGTTTATATACTTTATACCTTTATTAGTCTAAAAGTAGTATAATATTAAAAGTAGCTAGTCTACCTTTATAAGCTTATATAAAGTAGTTTAGAAAGCTTTTAACTAGTTAGAGCTATAGTCTATAATAAAAGCTAAAAGAAATTTATAAAAATACTACTAGTAGTTATAGAATACTTATATAATATAGTCTAAGACTATAGAAGAAACTACTTCTAACTAGATAAATTTTAATAAGTAATCTATAATAACTAAAAAATACTATAGTAAGGTTTTATTATAGGCTAGTAGTTCTATTATAAAGTCTATTAAGATCTACTACTAGTACTTATCTACTACTAGAATAGGCTATAATAGCTCTTAGTGCTTTTTCTAAGAAAAGTAAGTAGTATAGTAGTAGTAATTTCTAATATAATATATAATATTGCTTAATATACTATTCTAGTAATAGTTTTAGTATATATAGTAGAAAGTAATATTCTTCTCTAAATACTCTACTAAGCCTAACTTATAAACTCTCTAAATTACTATTATAGTAAGTAGCTTCTAATTTAGTAGCTATAAAACGCCTCTCTAAAGTAGTATACTATATACACTAATAGCGTAGTCTCTA